ATTTGAGTAGCTTTATCTATAGCTATTGGTTTCCCAGTTGTCGATGCTATAGACAACAGAGACGTCTTTGCAAACAAATCTGGAGATAAGTTCGGTAAAAAAATCCAAACCACAGTTAACGTCGTTTCCTCCTTAGGATTATATCCAATGGACCATGGAAAAACCCTACATTGGTGCTCCTCTCCATTGTAGAGAAGATAATTAACTGAGCGAGATAAAGATAGTATATAATCTTCATATTGATCAAATCTCAACAAAATTTGTCTTGGAGCAAGTAAGTCAATTAAACAATTGCCCTTGGTACCAAGATGTTTCGGTAAAATTGACCTTAATACCTTCAATCTGGCGCACCATGGGATAATTTAAACACCACTGCTTGATGCAATCCCTCTTGAATCATAAAGTTTTGCCTTTCCACTATTGAAAAAATGATAGTAGGTTCTCCATGAATTATTTTGATTGATTTTGCGATTGTTTTTTAGTTAGTTAGGGCAGATTGTTTAGTATTTATAGTATTGAAATTGAAAAGGGTGGCGTATGTGGTGGTTTGGGGTGGTGGGGAGGGCTGGACAGCCTCGAAATGAGGCCGTCCAGTGACCGTAGCAGCCATGACTGCTGCCTGCCGACCTAGGGTTTGAGATTCTGATACTGCTGGTTGCAGAGCCAATATACTTTTAAAAACAATATACTAGCAGAATTGGGACACACGTGCAACGCACATGCCCTGAAACTAGTTTTAAAAAAAGGGACTATTGTTTTAAAATCGGGTTGGACATCCTCGGAAAGAGGTCGTCCAGTGGCTGTAGCAGCCATGAGAGCCGCGCAGCTGCTGGCTAGGAAGGAAACCCTAGGTCACCCATTTTTTTGAGAGAGTTTGGTCCCACGTCCTTGCACTCTCGTAATAGACTTTTCATGAAATTTAGATCTTACAAATACAACTATTAAGTTACCTGAAATTGTGGGAGCACGACTTAAAATTTCAAATTTGATTTTGCTTGAGTTAATTAAGGAGAAAAAATAGTAAAAAGATTAGGATGAGAGAGAAAAACAATTTGTATAATGAGGAAACAGAAAATATGGTAGTATACAAATCCGGAAGTGGTTCCTAATAAATAGGAAGAAAGGTTAGTGGCGCAGTAATTTTTTACAAAGATAACAATGATAAATAGTTAAGTAGTAGATGTTTGCTTTGTCATGTAATTTTCCAAAGAAAAAAAAATAAGTTGGCTGATCTTCCAAATACTTCATCGGAGCTGCCTAGAAGTTCGTCCGATCTGCTACTAGACGGTTCGAACTAATGCCGGAGGTCAAGGAATCCTACAGTGACCAAGAGCAAAGCAAAAAAATTCTATTTCAGATTTGTCACCATCCCTTCCTTAACAATTTATCGATATTATTTCTAGACATTGGATTGAATAATTCTCCAAGATTTGCCTTTGAGAAGATGAAGAAGTTTGAGATTTATAAAATGGCATACAGTGGATTTGATTGTAACCTTAGAAAAAGACTATATTTAATTGGGAGTGATGTAGGGTAATTTAGTTATTTTAACTTTTTATTCATGTATTAGTTATTCAGGTATAAGTTATTTCACCTTCTACCTGCATAAAACAATACATAGATTGACTCATAACTTATACATGTATTAGTTATGTGACATTTTAATTTGCTAACCAAACATAGTAATATGTGTGTTGAATTTTTGCTACCAAACATGGTAAAGCTTATACAAAGTTTTATACATGAATAACTCAACCCTTATCTAGTAACCGAACTGCCCCTAAGGAGCCGTTTGGTAGCTGGATAGAGTTATGCATGTATTAGTAGTGTGGGTATTAGTTTTCACGCCCCGAGGCTACCCCTTAACGTAACACGGGACCTAGAATCACAAGTAACCCCAAGCTAACCTTGCGTCTGGCATATATCAAGCATACTGAGAATAACTGAATAAGACATATACTATGCAGAAGCTAAAACAATAGATAACGAAAAAAATGGGGAAACCCCAACTAGTCTGAATGTGTAAACCATACTAAGAGTTTAATAACAACTAAAAGATAAACTTAACAACTCAAGTTGATTCTATTACTATGTATAAAAAGCCTTTAACTGAGTTGAGTTGCTGGGACATGCCCCCCAGCTAACTCTAAAAAAATTGAAAACTGAATAACAAGACTAAAATGAAAAGCATGTCTATTGTCCTCGAAGTATGAAGACTCACCACTGAAGTTGTTGAAACGCAGACCGAGAATCGATCTAAGCGCGATCTGGATACTGAGTACCTGAACCTACATCATGAAAGAATGTAGTGCAAAGTATGCGTCAGTACTTGGAATGTACTGAGCATGCATGATATATATACTAAGCTAAACAAAGAATAACTGAGCAATGACATAAACTGAGCAAGAGTGTAACTACTGAAACATAACTTAGAAGATAAGTTGAATGCAATGACCAAATACTAATCATGAAAATAGCATGATAAACTAAATGCTGAAATATATACTGAAAACTTGGTCAAATGCACTAGGAGTCTGACTGTGGGAGCTACTATTAACCGACATAAACCACGTGAGCTAAACATGGAGTCCAATGTATACGCCCCATCGAGAGAACCCAATATACCTTGGCAGGGGTATAAAGGAATAACTAGCGTGATCACTAAATTTGATGCCCAACAGAGGGGACTTATACTCCTACGAGGGCACGTAGTTCTGGGACTATGAGGGTATGCTGAACCCTAGTCCAACTCGGCGCTAAGTTTACTACCAACTGAATATGTATATGACACAAATGTAACTGCAATACTGAATAGCTCAAAATACTAGCATGCAATCTAAGAATGCAATATTTATATACTGATAATGTGACATTCAAAATCTGAAGCATGATTATTTGTTTAACTGACCTAGCAAGTGTAATTCATGAACTAAGAGAATCTAAACAAACTAGAGTTCTGAGCTTTATACAAGGAATTATGCAAACTTTCCAAGAAACAAGCTATTTCGATTTAGGATACTACAACAGCTAAATCACACTAAATATCTAAGGTTTTAGAAACCCTAGGTCTAAACAAGATATGGAGAATCAATTAACTGACTAAATTCTAGGGACCTAGTGGATGAAAGAAACCCACTAGTGAAATTCCACATACCTGGTGACAAAATCTACGGAGAAATCCTTCGATTTCGGGGCTGAAACTTGAAGCAAACCTTCTGATTGTTCTTTGGAAACTGACACCTCTTTCTTCTTCTTTTTGCTCTAAGTTTAGATGATTTTTGGTGAATAAAGGTTTTGGGTAGGTTCTGATTAGATTATTAGGCTTAAACTGAATAAAACGACGTAGTTCAAGTATTAAACGACGTAGTTTAGGTGTCCAATGCATAGGGAAAAAGACCAAAATGACCCTGACTTAAAAGCTGACGAGGGCCGACCATGGAGCCAGTGACGAACCGTCAAAGGGACCACGACCCATCAAGTGGGTCGTGGTTGCTGGCCAGTGTCTACTGGTTCTTGGCATTCCATTTACGGTCCACTTCACGGACCATGTGAAGAACCACGGACCGTGAAGGCCACCGTGGTTTTTCACTTGGGGCTAGAGGTCTGCTGGCTCAAGATGACGGACCCATCCACGACCCGTCATCGAGACCACGACACGTGGTGGGCTCCGTAGTTTGATGCCTGAGCTCTGGTGGTTCTACCTTGCTTCCACCGGCCATACCACGACTCGTGTGGGGGTCCACGACCCGTGGATGGCTCTGTGGTTCACCATTTGTGGGTGGGTAGGAACCACAAGCAGGTCGACGGACCGTGGTTCCTTTCACGGTCCGTGAACCCTTCTGTGGTTCACCAAAATTTATGTTGTTCAGGTATGTTGCGAATGGAGGTGTTACATTAGTTATACATGTATTAGTTATGCAGGGTTTAGTTATACATGTATTAATTATGCATGATATAGTTATACATGTATTAGTTATGCAGGATTTAGTTATACATGTATTAGTTATGCAGGGTTTAGCTATATATGTGTTAGTTATGTATGTATTAGTTATGCAAGGTTTAGTTAGATAGAGATTACAATATATTAGTGAATTAGTTTTTATTTCTTAATTTCAAAAGTTATTAGTGAGCTAATATTTATTATAACCATTAAAATAACCAACTTTATAAATAATACATTAAAATTAAATAAATACCAATAGCTAAAAATAGCAAAGTAAATACTAACAAATAACTAAAAGAAATTAAGTAATTTGTATTCAATATGATTAAGTAATTAAGTAGTATCTAATTTAAATTAAACTAAATACTAGATAACTAAAAAATTAAAACTTGTATTTTAAGCAAAAAAAAAACTTGTATTTTTAACTAAAAAGAAAACAATTAACAAGAATTTAAGCAAAGAAATTAAGCAATTATCAAGACGAAAAACTCAAAGAAAAAAATGGTAGTACATTTTTTAATATGTATTAATTATTTGATTAGTTTTATATATATATATATATATATAAGAGTAAATTAATAAGGGTGAATGTGTAATTTACCATTTTAATACATGTATAACTAATATCCACATAACTTATTCGACCTTCTGTCCGGCCTAAATTATACATAGATTTCCTCATAAGTTATACAAGTATTAATTATAAGATTACAAGAAAGGCAACCAAACACCGTATAAAATAATACATGAATAACTTTTATATAACATTTGAAAATCTGCCAACCAAACATTGTACAAAATTAATACATGAATAACTTTATGTTATATGCAAACCAAACATGGTATACAATTAATACATGAATAATCAAGTTATCCATGTATTAGCTTTGCCTTATCCAGTTACCAAACGACCCCTAAGTGTTTTATTGTAAGGGATTTATCCATAACTGAGTTATAGTATAGAGTTGTTCTGTGTAGTTAGCTCTTTTAATTGTTTCCATTCTCCTATAAATGTATATTGTGCTGCCATCTTGTTTATAACATCAGAGAAACAAAGATGGCAGTCTGTAGCAAAAAAGATGATTTTCAGGCCACAATTCAGAATAGTTATGACAAAATGAGTGACCTAAAAGCCTTCAATGATACTAAGGCTGGTGTCAAAGGGCTTGTTGATGCTGGAATCAATAGAGTACCTAGAATATTCATTCTACCGCCAAAATACAGGGCGGAAACATGCGAAACGCACATCAGTTTTCCAGTGATAGACCTCGAAGGCATTGATGAGGATCCGATCAAGTATAAGGAGATTGTGGACAAAGTTCGAGATGCATCGGAGAGATGGGGTTTCTTTCAAGTGGTTAATCATGGAATTCCAACATCCATCTTGGACAAAACATTACAAGGAACACGACAGTTTTTCGAGCAAGATACCGAGGTTAAGAAACAGTATTACACTCGAGATATTGGGAAAAAGGTGATTTATACTAGCAATCTTGATTTGTATAGCCCTTCTGTTCCAGCTGCAAGTTGGAGAGACACAATTTTATTTTTCATGGCTCCGAATCCTCCTAGTCCACAAGAATTCCCAACAGCGTGTGGGTACATTTCTTATATGCCATAACCACAGAGAGGCAACCAAGCATACTCTGTTATTTACTCTGTATTTATTTTTTTACAAATATGTCCTGTTTCAATGAATTTATGTAGGGAAATTCTAATGGACTACTCCAAGGATGTGACGAAATTGGGGTTCTCCTTGCTTGAATTATTGTCTAAAGGTCTCGGTCTCGATCGTAGCTATCTGAAAGATTATATGGATTGTTGTCATATAAGTTGCTTGTGCCATTACTATCCATCATGCCCTCAGCCAGAACTCACCATGGGCATCAGTCAACATTCCGACACTGAATTTATCACAGTGCTTCTACAAGATGATATGGGTGGACTCCAAGTTCTTCACCAAAATCAATGGTTTGATGTTCCTCCTATACCTGGTGCTCTTGTCGTCAATATTGGAGATTTTCTGCAGGCTAGTACTCTTTTCTTTATAATCTTATATCGGATGCACCCCGACCATATGCTGATATGCATGAAAACAAAACGAATCATTGAAGCCATTTGAAACATCTTTGTTTATTTTGTACTAAAACCAACAAGTTGTGCTTATTTTTATTTTTTTCCAGCTCATGTCAAATGGCAAGTACACAAGTGTTGAGCATAGAGCAATTGCAAACAAAGATGGATCAAGAATGTCAGTTGCGTGCTTCTTTGGCGAAAATCCATTGCAATCTTCAAAGCTGTATGAACCAATCACTGAATTGTTATCAGAAGATAATCCTCCAAAATATCGCGCAACCACAGTGATTGACTACAAAAATTATGTCCTAAATAAAGGCCTAGATGGAACTTCTGCGCTGTTGAGTTACAAGATCTAATCATAATAATAATGTACCAATAAGTGGTGTTACAGCCCTTGACCAAAATAAGGGTTGTTTTTATCTTTTTCAACGTATTTAAAGCTAATCTGGTCATGTATTAGATTTACATTAATACTTGAAAATATTTGTATCGATATGAATGTTGGTGAAATAAACATCTACTAAGATAGAATTATTTGTGTCGATAGATATGAATGTTGGTGAAAGGATGCCCACCTTTTGTTGGCCGATAAAAATGATGATTAATTAATCATTGATAATGATAAGTTCTGATTTAACACAGAACCTGTAGGGGAAAGTAATTCTAACAGCTAGTTGAGTACTCAATCGAGTGCCCCATAGAAAACACAATCTATTCCATATGAAAATGAAAAGAAAGGAAGTCCAGCTTGATTTACTTCAAAGTGTAGGGTGTTTGACTAAGATGCAAGTTCCTAAATTCAAAAGGGTAAATAGAATAAAAAATTATTGATTGTGTTTTCATAGAATATGCCTTCAATAATAAAGGATATCAATTTCTGAATCACAATTCAAAAAAAATCGGACATTAAATTAATACAGTGATTATCAGACTGTTATGAAATTATTATGTTTATGGTGGATATTGATGAGGTAGTTAGTGAATCTTTTCACATAACGCTAGTTTCGTCTCAGTAAGTACTAGTTGATTGAACTACTCATTGTGTCTTTTTATTAATCATGTTCTTCAATTTCGTGAATAGATGTAACTTAAAATGATGTGAATTTTCATAATAAAATGAGTTTGTTGAAAGACAACCTTTTAAAAAGATAAGACGGTTCATTGATATAATTAAAAAAAAACAATTGATGATAAAGATAAAAATCAACAATAACTTTGATTACACATCATGAAATGTGTTATTAGTTGAAAAGGTATCTGCACATTTGTGTTCGGATCAAGTTTCGCACATAGTGATAGAGTTTTGTATTGTATTCATTGATCCCTAAAATAGATAAAAGTTGGTACCTATGAAAAATGTTTGAAATTCGACTCCTTGTAGATGTCCATGGACCTGTTGGAATATGAAAGTGCTACTTATAGTTGGTACAACTACCACAATGAGCATGAATAAAGAAGAAACCTTGTACAAGTCCCTCTTCATTTCGCGCATTTCTACTAGTTTTTTGCGACTTTTCTCACTCGTCATCTCTTCTTCTTTTAGAATAATTCAATACTCAATGCAGAAGTTATGGGGAATAAGCATCAATATATGTGGTGGAATTAGAATAGGATCCTCTTATTCTCAAAAGTATCACACTAACGCAAAAACTTAACTTCAAATTCAAAAGTACAGTCTGCACAAGTATGAAATACACAAACACACACAAAAGGAAGTAGTAATTATGGTTACATTACTATGATGATTAGATCTTGTAACGTGACAATGCAGAAGTTTCATCTACGCCTCTAGTAAGGATGTAATTAGAGTGGTCTTTCACTGTTGTGGCACGATATTTTGGAGGATTATCTTCTGACAACAATTCAGTAATTGGTCCATAAAGCTTGGAAGATTGCGCATGTGATAGCTCCATCGACACAGTAAGGTTATAGAAGCCCTAGGAAGACCATCAAGGTCTCAAGATAAGGAGTTACAAGCTAAGGTCGTTGGGGTTCAATGGAAAATCAAGAAGATACTTATCATGGAAGAAAAGCCCAAGAATGAGTCCAAGAATTATGGAGAAGAATGGAGTAGGTGCTACACATATTTTATGGTTCAAGTCCAAGCCCAAATGGAAGAAGATTGGGCCACACAAAGCCCAACAAAGGAGCCCAAAAGTTGAATGGTTGAAGTCAAAGTTTCCTAGTTTAAAAAAAAAACCTTTATTTTAAAGTTTCCTAGTTTAAAAAGTTTCCTAGTTTAAAGTTTTCCTAGTTTAAAAGTTTTCCTACTTTAAAGTTTCCATAAAAGTAGGATTTAAATCCCATTCTATTTGGGATAGGTTTTTCCCTATATATAGGGGTTTGATTTTATTATTTTGACAGACAATATTATTATTAATTGACAGTTCTCTTCTTTACACATTTGTGTGTGGCTACTTGGAATTTATCTTACAACCTTTTAAGAACGATTCTTAAGAGGTGAGATTAATTCTTTAACTTGATATCTTTGGTTCTTATTCGTAAATTAAAGAAGGTAATTAGTCTTATACTAATTATTGTCTCTAGTTTCTTCGTAATAAGGGTCTAGATCACTTTTGATCTAAGTTCTTGAATTGACTCTATGAGTATCACAATTAGTCTTAATCCGCTAATTTTGAATACTAAGATCAATTAGGGTTCTTAGCACTTTATTTTGAAATTGGGGATTTTATTCTTGAATTTCACCTATCTTGCACTTTTCTGTCTTTAATCTTTATAATTTCGCTTCCGCATTATTTTCTAGTTTATTCTGGTAACCTGATTATTATCAAGTGGTATCAGAGCGGTTCTATCAAGGTTCCATTCTTGATAATCTTGGGAGTTTAAAAAAAAATCCTTTTCTAGTTGCTTAAAAGTTCAGCAAAAAAAAAAAAAAAAACTGCAAGAAAAATGAAATGAAAATTATATATATATAAAAAAAAGAGGAAGAAAATACAATCACTTATTTCAAGAAACTCCTTATTTGCTTTTATTCTTGAATTTGTTTCTTCAAAAAGGAAAATCAAGAAGAGGAGAAATTTGAAGTTCTTTTTTCTTTTGTTTCACAAAGTGGTCTTTATTTCTTGTCTCATCAATCCCAATTTATCTGGAATTGATAAAAAAAAAATTATTTCTACATCTTACTCCTAAAAGGATTGTTACTAGTAGGGTTTATATATAAACTCTAAAGGAACTAGCCAAAGGTTGTAATTTGAGTGGAAAAAGGCAAGAGAGGGTGAGATCAATAGAGAGAAAAGAAAAGCCAAATTGAGAGATAATTGTTTCTTTTATTATTATTTTTCTTTTTGAGATGTCTCTAACAGGAAAGGATGATGAAACTGGGACTCAAAACGACGAATTAATGAAGGCGCTCCAAATGATTACTGCCTGACTTGATGCGCTAGAGATTGCACAAAAGCCATACAATCCAGTGAACATGACAGATGTGAGGAGAATCCATCAAAACCCAATCCCTCAAGTTAGGAGACAAGCTTTCCGAGCTCCTCAAGTCCCGCAAACTGAGGATCAATTTGGTGATTATGAAGACGAATTTGAAGAAGCTTACCAACAGAGAAACGAAAGGAGGGAGCCACGAATTAGGGTTGAGGATGACAATCTCAGTAGCATTAAGATGAAGATTCCTACTTTCAGGGGGACTAGAGATCCAGACTTGTATCTTGATTGGGAGAGGAAAGTGGAGGTCATCTTTGATTATCATAACTACTCTGAAGGTAAGAAGGTTAAACTTGTTGTGGTTGAATTTTTTGATTATGCGGCTAGTTGGTGGAAGAAATTTTGCAGAGACAGAATAGACAATGGAGAACTACCCATTGCGACATGGGACGAGATGAAGAGGGTTATGAGAAAACGTTTTGTCCCATCACACTTCCAAAGAGATCTGCAAAAACGCCTTCAAACTCTGAAGCAATGTTCTATGTCTGTGGATGATTATTTCAAGGCTATGGATTTGGCTATGATCCAAGCTAATTGTAATGAGGACGAGGAGGCCACTATGGCAAGATTTCTTAATTGTTTAAATGGAGAAATAGTTGATGTAGTAGAATTGCAACAATATGTGAATTTAGATGAATTGGTTGAGTTGGCTGTAAAAGTAGAAAAACAAAATAAAAGGAAGCAACAAGCTAGTTCGTGAAAGAATCGATCTACTATAACTACAAAGAAGCCATGGCCAACACATGAGGAGAAATCTATGCCTAAATCACAAGATGACAGGGGGAAGGTAAATGAGAGACCAAAGATGGAGGTAAGACTTTTAACACAAAAATTTCTACTCCTTCTACCCTTCTAGTGCTATACAATGTCACAATTGTCAAGGGAGGGGACATAAGGCGTTTGAATGTCCAAATAGAAGAGTTGTCTTAATTAAGGATAATGGGGAATATGAGAGTGAAAAAAGTGAGGGGGAAGAAGAAGAAGAGGGTGTTAGGAGTGAGGACGATAGAGATGTGGCTCCTCATAATGAGGGATAATTTTTGGGGGTAGTTAGGCGTCTTATGAATATTGATATGGGAGAGCTTGATGAGGCACAAAGGGAAAATATTTTTCATACACAATGTGGGATAAAGGGTAGAATTTGCTCTATGATCATTGATAATGGTAGTTGTGCTAATGTGGTGAGTACATATGCGGTGGAGAAATTAGGGATTTCATGCACAAAACGTAAGGCCAATTACAAGCTTCAATGGTTGAATGAATGTGGGGAGCTTAAGGTGAGTAAATAATGCATGATTTCCTTTTCTATTGGAGAATATTCTAATGAAATTCTTTGTGATGTTGTGCCAATGCAAGTTTGTCATATTTTGTTGGGCCGACCCTGACAAAATGATAGATATGTTTCCCATGATGGGAGGAGGAATAAGTACTCTCTTGAACATAAGGAAAAAAAGTATATTCTTTCACCATTAACTCCTTCTCAAGTGTATGAAGACCAACAACGACTAAAAGACACAATGGGAAAACATGGGGAGGGATAAAAAAAAAGAGTCAAAAAATTGAGAGAGAGGAAAAAATCCAAGTAAGGCGTGAGATGAGGGATAGCAACAATGAGGAAAAAGAAAAGGTGGGAATGAGTGATAAAAAAGAGAGAATTGGTGAGAGGAAAGAGGCTAAGGGTGAAAAAATAGTGAGTCTTGCAAAAGCCAAAGTGTGTTTACTTGTAAAAAGAGAGGGGCTGCCCATTGTTCTTCTCACTTATAGGGAAGTTATGATTAACACTAACGATTTAACTCCTTCTTTGCCTAGTGTTGTATCAACTCTTTTGCAGGATTTTGACGATGTATTTCTTCCAGATATCCCAAAGGGATTACCTCCTTTGAGAGGAATAGAACATCAAATT